AGGATCCCGTCCGACGCCGGCGTGGGTCGTCGGCTTTTTCTGGGGAGGGCGCCGCTGTCGCCCTTTGCTCCGGGGGGGGGGCGGCCCCGACGGTTCCCAGGGCAGCCGAGGCCGAGATCCAAACCCCGCCTTGCGATCCACAGCCCCGCCCAGACAAAACTGTGGTTTGCTTATGGGCGGCACAGCCTGTGACGTGCAGTCTGCAAACCATGGTTTATGGCAGGGCATGCAGAGAGCCAGTTTGGTGTTGTGGGGGAGGCTCCAGGCTAGAAACCAGGGGGCTGTGAGTTCCAGTCCTGCCTTAGGCATAAAAGCCGGCCGGGTGACTTTGGGCCAGTCCCTCTCTCTCAGCCCTAGGAAGGAGGCAATGGCCAACCACTTCTTGACAAGAAAACTGCAGGAAAACCTGTCCAGGAAGTTGCCAGGAGTTAGCACTGACTCAAAGACACACACACACACACACACAGAGTGCCAACCAGGCCATGGCAGTTTGTTTAGCAAATCATGCTTAAGCCAACTATAGGGTAGGGCAATGCTTCTCAACCTTGGCAACTTGAAGAGGTGTGGACTTCAACTCCCAGAATCCCCCAGCCAGCATGCTTTAAAACCAACAAATTACTTTTTGCATTTTCCATTCTTCCTCTCTGCCTACACACCGGCAGCCGTATTTCTTACCCTTTTGGTTCAGATGTAAGATAAACCTTCCACTGAGTAAGTCCCTTTGTTGAGTAGACATAGGGTGATTCTGTGGGTGTTTACTTAGAGGTAAAGCCCCTAGGTTCAATGGGGTGATGCCCATGGACCAATTTCTAAAACCGCTTGTTTATTCTAGCAAAGCGTCTGGGGACCCCTGCAAGCCTGAGGCTGTCTTCCATTCACTGATTTTGTTTTTTCCACCCTCCCCAGAATCGCCAGACGCTGCCTTGATGGAGGGAACCAGGCAAGTGAGATTTTCTCGCCCACCCAAGATAAGCCAGTCTTCAAAGGTCTGGTCACTTTATTTCCTTTCTACATTTTGTATGCGAGTTCCAGTCTCAGTGCGTTGGCAGAGCACCAGGTTGGGGAAAGCCATGGAAGTTAAGGGCCTTTATCCCCTTAATCAGCGTGTGGCCCCTCTTTCTGCCCCCTCCCCAGCCCCCTCTCCTGCTGTTTTGCCTTTGGCCCGGATGGTCAAGAATTCCTCTAGTTTTAACCCTGCTAGGTGAGGCGTCTTGCATTTCAGCCTGAAGCTTACTGAAAAAGGCATCCCAAAAAATATACCTGTGCCAATCTTTTAGGGGGAGTTAGATTTTGCCTGCCTGCCCAAATTCCTGCTCCCACCCTCAGATATGAACCTGTAGCTGAAATATAGAACAGGGGCTGCGCTGGTCCTAATTTGACCAGTGCTGAGGACTTCAGGGGTGGTGCGGTCAAGCGATGTGGCCATGATGCCTGGAGTTAGGACTAGGATGTGGGGAACAGGAGGTGATTGTTGCTGTTATTGTTATTTAACTATACTTAAACCAAGTCTAGGCCATGGTTTAGGGTGTGGTTCCGCACCTTGGAATAGCAGGAAGCCACACTGCCAATTTTTGCAGGTGCTCCAGGGACATGTGAAATTTGGCAGCGTGGTCAGAGGGAAAAGGTACTGCGTTACGTTGCAGGGCTAAAGGTTGGCCTCTTTTGGAATCCAGAGTTCCCAAGGAGATCACTGTGCCTGCTGTTGAGTGAAGAACAGGTTGGCCATGTCTAGGTCTTGACCGCCTTGTGAGTGCATCAAGATCTAGAAATCCACCCTGTTCTTTACTCAAGCCAGACCCTGAGCAATCCTGCTTTCTTTTCTCTGGGTGGATTGCCCACCTCTGTCCTTCATGCAGTGGAGAGGTTCTTACTGCTTCGATTTTGGCTTTTGAAGATACACAGTGAACGATGTCTTGTAGTTCAACCTTAATGGTTTCCCTACGTGAATGTTCTCTTGGGTTTCAAACTTTAGTGACAAAAGGCATTCTTACCAGTTTCTTTCAGCTGCTCCTAAAAGCAAGATGCAAACTATAAGCTGGAATATGACTAACCCTAGTTTGTAGGACATACTGTCTGATCCAATTTAATCCCCCTTCAGGTGTATAAATGTGCAGACCACCCCAGCTTCGTTCTTCAGAGCTTGAATGAACAGAGACGTCGCGATCTCTTCTGCGATGTTGTCCTAGTTGTGGATGACCAGAAAGTCCCTGCTCATCGGAACGTCCTAGCTGTCTGCAGTGAGTATTTCCACACCATGTTCACTATCGGCATGCGAGAAGCTTACCAGAAAGAAGTTGAACTCTTTGGCGCGACTTGCATTGGCCTCAAGGCGGTCATGGACTTCCTGTACGGGTGTGATCTGTTTCTCAACGGTGGAAATATCGATTATATCTTGGAAACCGCCCACCTGCTGCAGATCTGGAAGGTGGTGGATTTCTGCTGCGAATACTTGGAGAGCGAGGTCAACGAGGAGAATTACCTGTACCTCCAGGAGCTCGCGTCGATCTTCAGCCTCAAGCGCCTGGACTCCTACATCGACTCGTTCATCATGAAGAACTTCGGCACCCTCTCTTTCACCCCGGACTTCTCGCAAAACATTCCCATCGAGAAGCTGTGCCAGTACCTTGGAAGTTGCGACGTTCAGCAGGAATGCGAGCACGACTTGCTGCGAGCAGCTCTTCAGTGGCTGATGCAGCATCCCGAGCGGGAAACCGAGGCCTATAGAGTCTTGGAAAACATCCATTTCCCTCTGATCCCTAAGAGCGACCTTCTGCATCGGGTCAAGCCGGCCCTCTGCTCCCTCCTTCCAAAAGAAACCAACTGCGAAGACTTCGTTGAAGAGGCGGTGAACTATTACAACCAGGTCGCAGCTCAGCCCATCCTTCAGAACAAGAGGACTGTTCTTCGGACCAAGGAGGAGAAGCTCCTCTTTGTTGGGGGGGAGGTGTCGGAGCATTGCTTGGAACTGAGTGACGATACCTGCTTCCTGGATCCCAAAACGGGACAGTGGGTGAAGGAGACGCCGCTCCCAGCCAGACGGAGCCACCACTGCGTTGCCGTTCTTGGGGGGTTTATCTTCCTCGCCGGAGGCAGCTTTTCACGGGACAACGGTGGGGATGCTGCATCTAATCTACTCTATAGGTATGATCCTCGGTGTAAACAGTGGATAAAGGTGAGGCTTGAGTTGTAACCCATATTTTAATTTCTGTGTGTTTGAAGATCAAGGGGGACCATGTTTCTGCCATCCAAAATAACAACAATCAGCGTGAGAGCGGTGATGCTCTCCACTGTGAGATTGGGCTCCCAGCAGGCCCTAGGGGGCCACTCTTGGAATTGTGGGAACATCCCCTTCAAGGAGGGAGTTGTAACTTTCCAAAGAGGAGCGATAAATATACGGCTTGGGTTCACAGTTAGGCTAAGCCCCAGTTTGTCTGTCCCTATGGTTTCCATGGCTGTTGGAAAAGAGTCTTTCTGAAATAGTCTTTTTTAAGGAAACAAAACAAAACGTGATTGCAATCTGCCAGGCAGATGCAAATGTGCAATCCATAGATTGCGCGTGCCCTGAGGTTTGCCCGTCGTCCGCCCCTGACCTGAGTTATGACAAATATGTTGTTTTTAATAGTCAGTTTCTGTGATGGATGACCGCTGGCATGTTTTTGCCTTTCTCTTCTGTACCTAGCTTGCCTCTATGAAGCAACAGAGAGTGGACTTTTATCTTGCAGCCATCAAAGATATGCTGGTGGCTGTGGGTGGAAGGAATGAGAATGGAGCCCTTTCATCCGTTGAGACCTACAGCCCTGAGAAGGACACGTGGTCCTACGTAGCAGGCTTGCCAAGGTGAAATGCAGCAGCCCGATGATAGAGAAATGCCACAGTGGAGAACGGTTGAAGGTTGAAAGGTTTCTCAACTCACTTGAGTTGAGAAAAACTGTAAGACAAAGCAGTCTGCTGGTCAGTTCTCACTCTTGGGGGTGGCAAGGGGAGGTGTGTGCTGATAGCATTCAAAGAACACAAGGGATCTTTCAAACCCTGCTGGGGTGTTGGCAGGGTATGGTCAAAAAAGATGGGAGCTGCGATGGTGCAGTTGAAGCTCTGCGCCAGGAAGCGATGCCTGGTTGTATGACAGAATTTGCCACCCCGAAGATGTAATGATGGCACCAACGTCTGCAGCCGTGGCAATGCAGTGGGAGTTGCCCACGTGGATGGCTTCGAAAGACAGTTGAAAACATTCATGGAGCAGGCAGCTCTCCCTATCAAGAGGGTCAGACAGGGACTCCAGTGTTGGAGGTGCAGTAGGCAAGTGAGATTGGCAAACGAGAATGAATGGTTGGCACCGAAGATTGTCTGCTCAAGTTAGACTGCTGCATTTTTCCCCAATGACCTCTGGATAGGTTGGGTCTGCAAAGAAAGCCCGTGCATGGCTGGGGAATTTGGGGAATTGTAGCCGTGACACTGCTAGAAGGTACCTGATTAAGGAGGCCTCTGCTTTGGAAGGTCAACAGAAGAATTGCTGCTTATGAGAGAAGATCAGAGAAATCCTGGTGGCACCACAAGCTGCAGCCGTTTCCTACATACATGATTTTTTTTTTCCTTTTTCTGCCCTTCTTTTTTAATGCTCTAACCCAGCCCTCCCTCCCTGGGCCGCTGAGCTGAAACAGCTCATGGGTATTTTCTTGCAGAACAGTTTTGAAATTAGGCCAGAGGTTGCCTGCAGCTCTGCGGTTACCAGCTTACCTTTATATCATGGCTAATATATCACCAAATGCCGTTGTGCAATCTAAGCTGGTGCCCAGGGGGGGTCAAGAAGCAAAATCGTTCCGGGTGGGAGCGCGTAGTTTGGATTGCACGGAGTTAGGTAATGAATAACGGGAAGGATCCTTCTTCGTTCCCGGCCCCAGAAAGCTACTGTCAGGCAAAATATAAAATCTTGCAGCCAAACGGGGCAGCCATTGGAATCGGTGTCAGACAGCCTTGTCTGTTGAGTAAAATCAGACTCCCAGCTGAATGCAGAGTTCTTATGCAAGTTTTTTTAGATCTCGGGCAACCTAACAGGGAGCCTTAAGTTTCGTCTATTTGCATGGGTGTATTTCTACTCGGGTCTGGTTGTTATCTCTGTACTCTTCAGAACTTAATCCATTGGCCTGAGTAATGCAGAACAGCTCCTCTACACCACAAAGTAAATTGTGAAATCTTGAACAGGTTTTGAAAGCATCCTCCCATTCTGCTATGAAGGCCTGCTTAAGTTCCCGTGTCGTTTTTCCTTCTGCCGCAGGTTTACGTACGGTCACGCAGGTGCCGTCCACGATGGGCTCGTCTACATTTCGGGAGGCCACGATTATCAGATCGGTCCCTACCGCAAAAATCTGCTGTGCTACGATAATCGGACAGATACGTGGGAGGAGAAGAGGCCGATGATCACAGCTCGTGGCTGGCACAGCATGTGCACTTTACAGGACGACATTTATTCTATTGGTGGCAGCGATGACTATCTCGAAACCATGACTCGCTTTGACATTCTGGCGGTGGAGTCCTACAACCCCAAGTGCAATCAGTGGACTAGAGTGGCCCCCTTGCTCCAAGCCAACAGCGAATCTGGCGTGGCCGCGTGGGACGGCAAGATCTACATCCTTGGGGGCTACAGTTGGGAAAACACTGTCTTCTCCAGGGCTGTTCAGGTGTACGACAAAACGACAAAGCAGTGGCAGAAAGGGAGCGACCTCCCCAAAGCAATAGCCGGGGTTTCCGCTTGCGTGTGCGCCTTGAAGCCCAGATCGGATGACAAAAAGAAAAAGTCCAAACCGCAGCGCCATCAGGATAGAGGGAGATGATGAACCTTGCACGGATCTCACCCTGTCCTCTTCCTTTCCTGATACGGAGAACTGTTTTTGGAAGCTTCGGCAAAGCTATCAGAAAAATTCCTTCTTCACTCGGGCTGGAGGATTTCCTCTGTTGTATATCTTGGCTTCTCCGGAGTGGCGAGAAAACCGCAGCGGTAAACATTCTCTTCGCTGGAGTAACCGCAGGGTTACGGGGCAGAGTCTGTTAGAAGAAATCGCAGGGCGTCTGTCTCATGGTGACAGGGGAGAGGAGCGTCGGGGATCTTCAGAGAATGCTTTTCTGGAGAGGTAGAACAGTGTAAATAAAAGCCTGTCCTTCGAAACTCACTTGCCATGTTAAGCATCCTGTTTCTTGAAAATGGACCAAAATGGAGAGGCAGGAGTAGATTGAGAAGCAGTAGTATTCAACCGTCCCCTGTGCCTGAATTGGAGATTTCCAAAACTGTTCTGGAGTGCTCCATTTGTATATTCTACGTTCAGCAGCAAAAACAGGTGCCTGAAACATCATTTTTACCCCACCGATAATGACACTCGTGCTTTGTTTTGGCCTGAAGGATCCCCCTCTCGTGTCACACGATCCTAGGCCTCTGATTTTACAAGGATGTCAGTGTCCATATTGGGACATGGTTTCAATTATTAGGGGTAAGATTCTCCCTCTATTCCAGGCCGAGCACGTTTGTCACGAGTTTGGGGGAAGCCTTCATGAATAGAAGACACCGTTTTGCTAATACCCAGCCTGGCATTTTGGAGCTGTTTTCTTTGAGGGGTGAAGGTGCTGGACTAGGAGCAAGGAAACCGGAGTCTTAGCCTTGCCTTAGGCACAAAGCCAGTTGGGTGACTTTGGCCAGTCCCTCTCTCTTTCTCAGCCTTAGGGCCAACCACTTCTAAAAGTGTTGCCTAAAAAACTGCAGGGACTTATCCACATCAACACTAGGACAGTGTTTCTCAACCGTGGCAACTTTTTGTTTGGTGGGAACTCAAAACGCGGAAACCCCCCCCCCCGCAACTGCGGGGGGGGAGGGGGGGGGGGGAGGGGTCACCCACGGGC